TAATGGAATCCTCTTTTTTATCTGAGCACATGACTCCCACCTAGGGACTAAATTTCCCAACTTCTGCATGAGCATGTAACTTAAATTCTGCCAAGAGAATATGAGCTGAAATCAATTATACAATTTTTTCGCATCCTGTAAAAAAAATTATCTAAAATCTTTTAAAGGTTTCAATCCTTTCTAGGTAATTGACAGAACTAATAGAAAAAATCAATAAGGATATAGAACATTTAAAAAGTACAGTAAACCAATTTGACCTAATCAATATTTATAAAACACTAGACCCAATAACAGCCAAATATACATTCAATTCAAGTGCCCATGAAACATTCACCAAGATAGCATGGCTATAAAACAAATTTCAATAAATTTATATGATTGATATCATATAAAGAATGTTCTCAGACCACAAAAGAATTAAACAATAAACCAATAAAATATCTGGAAAATCACCAAATATTTGGAAATTAAGTGACACATTTCTAAATAACCCATAGGTCAAAGAATAAGTCAAAAAGGAGATTACAAAGTATGCTAAACTGAATAAAAACAAAACGCAACATATTGTTTGTGAGGTGCAGCAAAAGTGGTGCTTAGAGGAAAATTCACAGCTTTAAATGAATATGGTGAAGAAGAATAAAAGGCTAAAGTCTATGACCTAAGATACTACCCTAAGAAGCTAGAAAAGGAAGAGAAGATTAAGCCAAATTAAATAAAAAGAAGGAAGTAATAAAGAATAGAAATAAATGTATCATCCAACAAGCAAACAACAGAGAAAATCAATAAAACGAAAATCTGGCTCTTTTTGAAAATGTCGGTAAATTTTCTAAACTTCTATTTAGATTTATTTAAGAAAAGACAGAAAAAACACCAATTACCAATATCAAGAATGACACAGGTGACATGACTACAGATTCTACAGATACTAAAAGGGACACAGAAGAATCTTATTAGGGCCAGCACTGGTGGCCTAGTGGTTAAGTTTGGTGCGCTCCACTTTGGCAGCCCAGGTTCAGGTCCTGGGTGTGGACCTACACCGCTCTGTTGGCAGCCACGCTGTGCTGGCAGCCCACATACTAACAAACAATAGAGGGAGATTGGCATGGATGTTAGCTCAGGGTAAATCTTCTCTAGCAAAAGGAAAAAAAAGAATATTATTAACAACTTTATGACAATAAATTCAACAACTTGGATGAAATGGACAAATTCCCCAAAAGAAGTAAACTACCAAAAGAGACAAGAAGCAAAAGACCATCTGAATAACATATTCTATATTGAAAAATAAATGTGTAATTAAAATCTTTCTATAAAGAAAACTCTAGGCCTAGATGACTTCACTGGTGAATTGTATAAAATATTTAAGGAAGAAATAATACCATCTTTCAAAAATGCCTTAAGAAAATTGAGGAAGAAACATGTCACAATTCACTTTATGAGGCCAGCATTACCCTGACACCAAAAAGACATTGCAAGAAAACACAAAAAAAGACCAATATCCCTTATAATCATAATCATAGACACAAAAATTCTTTAAAAGATACCAGTAAACTGAATTCTACAATATATAAGATGGATACTATAGCATGACCAAAGGCGGGGGAATGGGGAGTAATATCCCAGGAATACAATGTGGTTTAATATTTGAATATAAATCAGTGTAATTCAACACAATAACAGAATAATGGAGAAAAACCATATGATCATCTTAATAGTTGCAGAAAAGGCATCTGAAAAATTCAACAACCGTTTGTGATAAACACTCTCAGCAAACCAGGAATTGAAGGAATTCCTCAACTCTACAAAGAAAATCTGTAAAAGACCTAGAACTAACATCAGACATAAGGGTGAAAGACTGAATGCTTTCTCCCCAAGATTGGGAATAAGCAAGGATATTGCTTTTACCACTTCTATTTAACATAAAATGGGAGGTCCTAACCAGTGTAACAAAGCAAGAAAAATAAATAGAAGCCTTATGGATTGGAAAGGAAGAAATAAACTATTTTTATTTACATAAGACACTTGAGTATATAGAAAACGCTAAAAATTTTAATAGCTATGAAAATTAATAAGTAACTTTAGCAAGTCCGCAGTATACAACGTCAATACATAGATCCTGTCTTTATATTGGAGGAGATCTGTACATGCCACTCCAAATACGCCACTTTGGCATAAGGATTATTTTGAGATGAAGACAACTGAAACAAAGCAAACACAGGAAGAGCTCTCTGCCCTCCCCATACCTTCCTAAAAGCAGGGCATAAATTTTCCTCTGTGAAGGTGTCCCCCTCCCCTCTTCTGTACCAGGAAGGGGAGAACAATCCTTATCATCCAATACAGAGAGACGGCACCAAGACGAGTCTGCACGACAAACCTTACTAACCAACTCTTACCTTCCATTAGTTTCCCCATATATTTACCTTCCCACATTCACTGCCTCTAGAAGCCCAAACCCCTTTTCCTTTGTCTAATCACCTCTCCACAATTTATCACCCTTTGTTAAAATGATATATAAGCCCCCAACTCTAACTGCTTCTTTAAGTTTCACTTCTTTTCTGTAAGCTCCCATGAACATAAAAATATTAATAAATTTATATTCCTTTTCTCCTGTTCATCTCTCTTGTCAGTTTCATTCGCAGGCCCAAGTCACAAATTTAAGAGGGCAAAGGAAAGTTTCTTCTCCTCAACACTATATATAAAAAAGAAAAATTGAGAAATATATAACAATACATTTTGAATAATTACAAAAACATTGTATACATAGAGATAAATTTACCAAAGACGTGGATACCGAAAACTATAAAACATTGCAGAGAGAAATTTAAAGAGGTCTTAAGATGTCAGTTCTCCCCCCAATTGATCTACATATTTAAAACAAGCAGAATAAAAATCCTAGCAGCATTTTTTGTGAAAATTGACAAGCCCATCCTAAAAAAATCATGTGGAAATACAGAGGATCTAGAATAGCCAAAACAATTTTGAAAAGGAAGACCAAAGTTGGGGGACAACACTATTTTTTAAGAATTACTATAGAGCTACCCTCGGGGCTGGCCCCGTGGCCGAGTGGTTAAGTTCGCGCGCTCCACTGCAGGTGGCCCAGTGTTTCGTTGGTTCGAATCCTGGGCGCGGACATGGCACTGCTCATCAAACCACGCTGAGGCAGCGTCCCACATGCCACAACTAGAAGGACCCACAACGAAGAATATACAGCTATGTACCAGGGGGCTTTGGGGAGAAAAAGGAAAAAATAAAATCTTTAAAAAAAAAAAAAGTTTAATCTTTAAAAAAAAAAAAAAAGAATTACTATAGAGCTACCCTATTCAAGACACCACATAGATCATTGGAATAGATGTAGACCACACAAATATTGACAATTTATCTTTTACAAACACGCCAGGGTATTTCAACGAGGAAAGAATACTCTTTTCAACAAATGATGTTAGAACAATTGGATATCTATCTGGGGAAAAAATTACCCTTAATCCTTACCTCTCAATATACACAAAAAGCTAATTCAAAATGGATCATAGACCTAAATGCTAAAGCTAAAATTACAGCATTTTTAGAAGAAAATATAGGAAACTATCTTTTGACTCCTATATTATGCAAAGACTTCTTAGGTCATATAAATCATGCATCATAAAAACATTAATGGATTGGAATTCTTCAACATTAAAAACTTCAGTTCTTTGCAAGATCCCATTATGAAAATGAAAAGGAAAGCTACTTTGGAGAAGATACTTACAATACACATATCTGACATAGATTTTGTATTCAGAATATAAAAAGAACTCTTACTTCTCAATATTAAGAAGACAACCCAGTTTTTTTAATGGCCAAAAGATTTTAACAGATATTTCACACACACAAAAAAAACATACAAATGAACAAAAATCACATAAAATGATGCTCAATATTATTAATCATCAGGAGGATGCAAATTAAACCTGCAATGGATATCACTAAACAGCTACTAGAACAGCTAGTTAAAATAAAGGTTGATAGGGGCCATCCTGACAGTGTAGTGGTTAAGTTCGCATGCTCCACTTCAGTGGCCCAGGGTTTGCAGGTTCAGATCCTGGGCACGGACCTACAAACCACTCATCAAGGCATTCTGTGGTGGCGTCCCACATACAAAATAGAGAAAAATTGGCACAGATGTTAGCTCAGGGCCAATCTTCCTCACCAAAATAAAAAAACAAAGGTGAGGAATGAGAAGTGTTGGTGAGGCTGTGAAGCAACTAGAATTCTCATACGTTGCTGGTGAGAATACAAAGTATTACAACCACTTTTGAAAATAATTGGAAATCTTGTGAAGTTCAATACATACTTCCCACATGATCCAGCAATTCCACTCCTAACTATTTTCCCAAGAGAAATGAAAACATACGTCCACAAAAATACTTGTACACAATTGTTCATAGCAACTATATTCCTAAAAGCCTGAAAATGAAAAAAACCCATATGTCCCTCAATAGGAGAATGGATAAACAAATTATAGTATATTTATAACATAGAATACTATACTGCAATAAAAAGGAATGGACTAGTGATACAACAAAATAAAAGAATCTCAATAACACACACTGATCAAAAGAAACAGATACAGAAGAGTACGGTACAGGGTGCATTGCAGGGTCGGCACTAACAGGAAACCGAGAGTGGGTGTCTGCCTAAATGTGCATCTTAGGCCCCTCACTCGCACCACCCTAGGCCCAGCCTGAAAGTACTTACTGTATGATTCCATTGATGTGAAATTTTAGAACAGGCCAGACTAATCTATCATGAGACAAAGCAGACCAGTGGCTGCCTTAGGGCAAAAGTGGATGATGTTTACTGCAAAAGGCTCCTGGGAGCTTCTGGCAGTGACGGAAATATTCAGTATCTTGACTGGGGTGATGGTTAAATGGGTGCAAACATTTGTCAAAATCCATTAAACTTAGAATAGGTGCATCTTATTTTCTGTAAATTATACCCCAATAATCTGACCTTTTTTTTTTTTAAAGACATTGCACGTGCTCCACTTTCTCTCTTCTGCCTTGCTGCAAGCTGGAGTGTGGAGGAGGTAGGGATAAGCCAGCTTCACGCATGGCAGAACAACAAGGAGCAGGAACCTGGACCCCAGAAGCCCAGAGTCCCTGATGGCTAGACAATTGATCCCTGGAGAGAAATAAGTCCCTGTCTTGTTTGAGTCACTGCACTTTTGAAACATTAGCTAAAGCAGCTTAGCCTGAGCCCCAACTAACACAATTACATATAATTGAGTATTTTTATCAATCACTTTCATGTGTAATAGGCTCATCCATTCCAAATAGGCTATGAATTCTTCATAAGGCAGGCCTAGAGAAAAATGAATCTTATTCTCCAAATCACTCAGGACACACAGGCGCATCAATCTGAGCCACACCCCATGCTCTGCTCTATCACGCACAGTGCCTCGTCTAATTGAAGCCTGCGGAGGTGGCCAACACATTTTGGCAGGCTGATTCGTGCCTTCTCTGCCCCAGGAATATTCAACAATTAAGCAAACATACTGGAGTCATTTCATGATCTCCTGTGAAAAGAAAAAGGAGAAATTTTTTTAAGAACCAACAGTACAAATAGATAGTTAAAAACACAATAAGAACCGGATGAATTCTTAAGAATGATTAATAATAATATTGAAAAGTTCACAGAGTCCATATGGCACCAAAATAATCAACCAGTTTAAAAGAAAAATGTAATTGTTTGGATTATCAAAACACTACCTACACACACACACACACACACACACACACACATTGCTTTCAAATTTTAATTCATTTCACTGATATCGCATAAACAAACACCCCTATACCATTCTTCCCCCTCACCACTAGAATCTAAATTCACTTATACTTGGGAAAGTTAAAAAAAATAAGGATGATAGGGGTTCCTTCAAGTGGCTAGGTGGTAACAGTAGTTTTAGTGCAATTTATTCCTCCAACAAAAGTACGATGAAATGAAGGAAGAGTGGGTGCACATTAGTATTATAAATTGATGACTGGATCCTTTTTCACATTAAGCACCTACTGTGTGCAGGTCCTCATACAAAATTCTAAACAAAGATAGGTAGGCTAAACCCACCCTTTATAAATAATATTCCTGTTAGTCCTTGCTCAACTTTTGTAGAAGAAAGAGGGGATTGTTAATTTTTTTACTTCTTAAAAAATTGGTGAATTGAAATTTCAGGGCTCAGAGATTCCTATTTTCTCAGAAGATGCTAGTCTAAGTCCCTCTGTGGCACTCACCATCATTTCCGGAGTTTGAGGCTCCTATGTATAACCTATTAAATGAATGAAGGAATAGAATTAGTTGAAAAGCCATGAATCCCCATAGGACATTTGAAATCATTAGATATTTCACCAGAAACTTTTTCACTAGCTTTTTCACTTAACAGAATTCACTTTAGAAAGCAGAGCACTTTCTATTTTAGTCCTATCAAATTTTGTTTTAAAAATTTCCACTTCTAAATATTTAACATGTTTAGCTTTTACTTCACCAAAAAATTCTTACAACTAATAAATTGATTCAATAAATGTGCAGGATACAAAATCAATAACAAAAATATGTTGCATTTCTATTCACTAATAACAAACTATCAGAAAGAGAAATTAAGAAAACTACCCTATTTATAATTGCATCAAAAAGAATGAAATCCCTAGGAATAAATTTAACCAAGGAGGTGAAAGACCTGTAGACTGAAAACTATAAAATACTGATGAAAGACATGGAAGAAGACACAAATAAATGGAAAGATATTCCAAACTGAAGGACTAAAAGAATTAATGTCACTAAAATGTCCATACTACCCAAAGAAATCTACAGATTTGATGCAATCCCTATCAAAATTCCAATGGCATTTTTCACAGGAATAGAGCAAACAATCCTAAAATGTGTACGGAACCACAGAAGACCTCAAATAGCCAAAGCAATCTTGAGAAAGAAGAACAAAGCTGGAGGCATCTCACAATCCCTGATTTCAAACTATATTACAAACCTATAGTAATCAAAACAGTATGGTATTGGCATAAAAACAGACACATAGATCAGTGGAACAGAACAGAGAGCCCAGAAATAAACCAATGCATATAGGGTCAATTTGACAAAGGAGCCAAGAATATACAATGGGATAAGGACGGTCTCTTCAATAAACAGTGTTGGGAAAATAGATAACCATATGCAAAAGAATGGAACAAGGCCACTATGTTTCATCAAACACAAAAATTAACTCAAATGGATTAAAAACTCGAATGTAAGACCTAAAACCATAAAACTCCTAGAAGAAAACATAGGTAGAAATCTCCTTGACATTGTTCTTCGTGATGACTTTTTTAATCTGACACCAAAAGCAAAAGCAACAAAAGCAAAAATAAACAAGTGGGACTACATCAAACTAAAAAGCTTCAGCACAGCCAAGGAAACCATTAACAAAACGAAAATGTAAGCTACTGAATGGGAGAAAATACTTGTGAATCATATATCTGATAAGGGGTTAATATTCAAAATACATAAAGAACTCATACAATTCAATAAGAACAACAAAAAACAACCTGATTGAAAATGGGCAGAGAATCTAAATAAACATTTTTCCAAAGAAGGCATACAACAGCCAACAGGTACATGAAAAAATACTCAACATCACTAATTATCAGCAAAATGCAAATCAAAACCACAATAGGATATCACTTTACACTTGGTAGAACAGCTATTATCAAAAAGACAAGAAATAACAAGTGTTGGTGAGGTGTGGAGAAAAGGGAACACTTGTGCACTGTTGGTGGCAATGTAAATTGGTGCAGCCACTACGGCAAACAATATGGAGGTTCCTCAAAAAATTAAAAATAGAACTTCCACAGGATCCAGCAATTCCACTTAGGGGTATTTATTCAAAGAAAATGAAAACACTAATTCGAAAAGATACATGTACTCTCATATTTGTTGCAGCATTATTTATAATACACAAGACATGGAAACAATCTGAGTGTCCACCGATGGGTGAATGGATAAAGAAAATGTGGTATATATGATATATATACAATATAACGTTATTCATCTATTAAAAAAATAAGGGAACTCCTACCATTTGCAACAACATGGATGGACTTTGAGGGCATTATGCTAAGTAAAATAAGTCAGATAGAGAAAGACACAAATATTGTATAATCTCACTAATATGTGGAATCTACAAAAAAAGAAAACAAGGCCATAGGTACTGAGAACAGATTGGTGGTTGCTTGGTGGGGGCAGGGGGTGAGCAAAATGGGTGAAGGGGGTCAAAAGGTGCAAACTTCCAGCTATAAAACAAATAAGTCCTGGGGATGTAATGGACAGCACGGTGACTATGGTCAACAACACCATATTGCATATTTGAGAGTTGCTAAGTGTGTAGACCTTAAAAGTTCTCATCATAAAAAGAAAATTTTGTAACAATGCATAGTGACACATGTTAACTAGACTTATTGTGGTGATCGTTTCACAGTATATACAAATAAATCATTGCGTTGTACGCTGGATACTAATATAATGTTATATGTCAATTATATCTGAATAAAAAAAGAAGAAACTTGAAATTCAAAAAAATAATAAAATTTTTAACTTTTAAAAAGGCAAAAATAAGCAAAAATTAAGAATTCATTGATAGGATACAGTCATTCTTATTCCTCCCTTCCGTCTGAATGAAATGCCTACATTACTCATTATTAGCCAACTTGGAATGAAGGAACCAAAACTGAACATGCAACCTTCCAGTTCTTAAGAGAGACTGCTGTCTTTAGTCTCATTTCTTCATTTTATCTCTGAGAACTTAAAGAAATCCATATTGTATTAAGTCACAGGTATTAAGAAAGACCTTTGCTGTCTTACAGACACTTTGTGCTTACAGAAGTAGTTTTCTGCAATGCAGTCCATCTATTTATAATATGAAACATAAGACAGTTAATGTAATTCCTACATAACCACTAGCAAGGTTTCACTCTGGTGTCATCTTTAGGAAACAGGAGGAAACCCTCATACACACATAAACACACACACATCTCCATCTTCTTGCTAGATTTTCCTCTCAGATTGATTAGAGTGATGGCACTGACAAGGTACCAAATTCCTAGCTAAGAGATTTCTTTGGGGTCATAAATTGATAACTCCCCTAGAGTCCAATCATCAGCGTGGCTCCTATCCTTTCCTTCCCATGCCCCTTTGGGATGGCATATCTTTTTCTCTGAGTAGACACAGCTAAAGAGGGAACGTCCTCTCTTTGACACACACTTTCACCCTTCTGCCTACCCCTTCATGTGTTACCCCTCAGTTACAACTCCAAGGGAAGAGAAATTGTTCATCTAATCCATCTGAGCCCAGGACTTAGATTGGACAAAGGCACAGGGAGCGATTGTGCCTTGAAAGCAGGAGCCCTTGAATGTTCTTCCTGCCTCCATGTGGAACGCTGACCAAGGCTGGGCTCCAGGGCTCACCTCCTCAGTCACAACTAGTTAGCTCACCTGCTGACTCTTGCTCTCTTTCCATCTCACTGCACATCTATCACTCCTTCCCTTCCACCTCATCTGCTCATGATAACAGGGCTTTTATATGCAAGAGCAATCAAGTAGGAAACCTCACTTAGGCCTAGAGCCTAAACTATTTTCCAATACAACTCTTATAAAATGAGATTATTGGATGCTTATCAAATATTAATAAAGTAGTGTATTAGCCAGCGTTCTCCAGAGAAACTGAACCAACAGGATATAGATACGTACATACATACACACATACATATAAGAGAAGATTCATTACAGGAATTGGGTCACACTATAACGAAGGCCGAGAAATCCTAGGATCTGCCATCTGCAATCTAGAGAAACAAGAAACCCAGTGAAGTAATTCAGTCCAAGTCTGAAGGCCTGAGAATCAGGGGGCTGATAGCATAAGTCCTGGGCTGAGTCTGAAAGCCCAAGACCCAGCAGCACCAATGTCCAAGGGCAGGAGAAGATGGATGTCTCAAGTCAAATAGAGAACAAATTCACCCTTCCTCCACCTTTTTGTTCTCTTCAGGCCCTCAGTGATCTGGATGACGCCCCCACATTGGTGAGGGTGATCTTTACTCAGTCTACCAATTCAAATGCTAATAATCTCTTCCAGAGCCATCCTCACAGACACACCCAGAAATAATTTTTTACCAGCTAACTGGGCATCCCTTAGCCCAGCCAAGTTAGCGCATAAAATTAACCATCACATGCAGTATTTAGTTTCCCATTTGCCTATTGTTTCCTACTGTGTGCTTCCTCAATAGGGATCTCTCAAGGAAGGAAACGGAGTTATAAGGAGTCCCAAATGCTACCCTGAACCTCCAAGAGGCATCATGAATGTCCCCTCCCTGTCATCCTGCATTGACTAGACTGCAACGTGATACTCAAAACAACCGTGGTGTCGTTATGTGCACAATACTCTCTAATTCTCAATTTTCACATACAACACTGTGAGGTTAGTACAACAGAGATTATCAACTCTGTTTATAAGAACAGTTCTAAGGTTAAGAAGAATTAATTGGCTCATACAATGAATTTATAGAAGGGCCAAGACAAGAGCTGAGATCTCTAACTCATAGGTCAGGACATTTCCTGCATGGACTACCACAGTCTCTCAAGGTTCACTTGCTTCTAAAAGCGAGTAATGGAACTATCTTCAGGAAACAGATACAAGGGGGGGATGTTGTGAGTATTTGGATATAAGCGAGGGTACAAGTGTGTATCTGTGTGCACGCCTATGTTGGCAAAGGACCAGAATATAAAAGGGATGTATACATCCTTTGACAATTTTAGTGGGTCTTATTATTTTTGCAAATTATTCCAAGGCTAAACTTGTCCATTTCCCTGCCTCTTGGAAATTTGCACAATAGCAAGAGTCCTCATAATCTCTTTCTGTTGAGTGTTCTCAGTTTAACACAGGGAATCCCACCAGATTCCCCCTCCCACAGGAAGTAATCGAGAATATTACGACATGTAGTCATATGATTTCACGTCCTTCTTCTTTTCTTCTGTGAATAGACAACATAATTCGAAGGAAAAAGGTTTCGTTACTAGTAGTATAAAAGTTCACTTGCTGATATTTTCTCTTCCTGGCACTTTTTATCTACCAAGTACTACTTTTAAATTGGAATTGTACAATTAAACTAGAGCATGCCCAGAACAAATAAAAAACTGAGAAGAGGGGCCACCCACTTAGTGGTTAAGTCCAGTGTGTTCCGCTGCCACAGCCCAGGTTCACAGGTTTGGATCCCAGGCACGGACCTATACC